GAAACACCATCTTTCGAACTGATGGGACGAACATCTCGAAAACTGATCGATCGATTCAAGTGAATTTTTTGTTTAATTAAGAAATGTATTTTTCAAGGAAGGCTGCGAACCTTCGATGTCCCAAAATTTACCAAATTAATTCATTAATTAACGTGGAGTCGGGGCAAATTGATAAAAGAGCGATGTTTAACTTTAAAATGCCGGAAAAATATCGTATAGTTTAAAAATACATTTCGTTTTTTTGTTTCGAATTTACAGACGATAAACGTCCGCCACCGTTCAAAGAGAATTCTTCGACAACCCCTATTGAATGAGACTCGTTCATTCCGAATAGCTGAATAAACTAAAGAATTATATAACTTTTTGTACATTAAAAAGATATATAATATAATTTCGAAACCCCCTTAGACTATCATCCTGGTTATTTTTCGTAATAAAATAGTCCCAAAACTCATCTTCTTTTTCGCCTCTCCAACACCGGAACCTCTCCTTAATTTGCGGAGGCAAACGGACGGAGCAAACAACGTGCTTCTTAGGTGCTGTATCATATTTTGGTTGCGAGCACCGCAGCACGTGCACGTATGCTATGAAAACAGAATAACGTGTCTAGTTGGGACACGTCGGACACCTCCAATGTCTCGACTGGCACCGCGGAGAACCAGCCGAGCTTCTTCAACTGGCCCTCGACGCAAGAAGCAGCCGAGAAGCTTCCGGAGCCGGAACGCAAGAAATAACGAGAACCGTGCTCGACTTTCTTGCTTCGATCGTTGCGCGGGAAGTCCTCAAAGTGTCGAGGAGAGAGGCGTTAGTTCGACGTACAATTAGAAAAGAAGCAAGGGGATGCCGAAGGAAGAAAAGTTTCCAAGCGAAATGGCTTTCCCCGGTTAAGGGGAGACACACCACCCCTACGATCCAAAAAAATTGACTTTTTACTTTATTATCACAAAGTTTCGAGCGTGTTGAACGTTACGTCGAGTCGAAATTCTTCGAAATTCGTACATTTGGTCGAAAATGGTTGAAAAAAAAATCGTACTTTATCAGAGATAAATTCTCTTGGAACTTCTCTTAGATTTTTCGCGAAATTACATTTTTCATCCTGACCGTCACAAAATTCTACATAGAGTACTGCATAGAGTATACTACACAACATAGTGTATGATTTATTTTTATATGTCTATTATTTGATTTTTTTCATATGCATTTAAAGTTGATTTTTTATTGGGATAGAAGTAGCAGTTTTTCTTTAAATTGCAAAAATTTCTCGGATTATTGAAATTTTCGAAAACCCGAACGCTACGTTTCGAACGATAGATTCTAGGTCATTAATCGCGAAAATTTGTTTATATCAGAGGTCCCGGTATTTGCCAGAATTAACGGCCAGCAAATCAGAGTTCCACGAGAAGGGCTTTCGAAAACAACTTCGTTTTGTACGATTTTTACTGATAAAAGAAAATTGAAAAACGAAGCTGAAACGTATATTTATATTCTCTCAGAAAGACTAAATCTTCAGTTTAGTAATAACCTATAATAAACATCACTAAACTTTACTTATTTCTTAACGCTTCAAGGTGGTGTGCTCCCTTAATGCTCGGAGAACGGCGCACAATACCAACTCGCCGTCCAACTGTGTACAATAAATTCTCCCTAATTTTCCATCGGCTTGTAAACAAAAATTATGGAAGAGTAAATACGATTATTATTAATATCGGCTCATTATTATAAATACCGATTGTCGACAATTATAAAAACGAGACGCGAAGTTCGAATAATCGCATCTCTTCCCGAATTGTCCATTTTTCTGTAGAATCCGAGCGTCGATTAGGGAGAACTTATTGTGTATAGTAATATCCTCCCTAACTGACGCACAGATTGTGCACAAAAATGGATAATTTGGGAAGAGGAGATACGATTATTAGTTATTGACAGTTCGCAACTATAAAAACGAACCGCAAGGCTCGGATAATCGCATCTCCTCTTCCCGAATTGTCCATTTTTCTGTAGAATCCGAGCGTCGATTAGAGAGAATTTATAGTATACAGTAATGTCTCCCTAACTGACGCACAGATTGCGCACAAAAATGGACAATCTGGGAAGAGGAGATACGATTATTAGTTATTAACAGTTCGCAACTATAAAAACGAACCGCAAGGCTCGCATAATCGCATCTCCTCTTCCCGAATTGTCAATCTTTCTTGTAGAATCCGAGCGTCGATTATGGAGAATTTACTGTATACTTCAGGAAAAACCGATGGATCGGCCACATCGACGCCTTTTCGACGCTTCAACGAAACAGGAAGGGTTACGACGACGGATCGACGCCTAATTGCTCGAAAGTCGTGCGCGCGTGCGGCGCGAAATCATTCCGCGGGACTTTCCCTCTTCTCGCAGATAGTCGCACACCTGCGAAGGTCGTCTGGCTCGGAGCTTCGGTTTAAATTCGGACGGGAGCAATCTCCGGCACAGCTCCATCCGTCATAATCATTCTCCCAGACCCCCGGGGGACCTCGACGTTCCTGTTCCAGCTCGGAACCATTCGCTGCTCTCAATCTGCGCGCAATCCCATCGTGGGAATTCCGAGGAGCACGGCGAAAGAGTGAGTGAGAGAGAGAGAGAGAGAGAGAGAGAGAGAGAGAGAGAGAGAGAATCAGAAGAGCGGACCTTCTATTCAATTTGTAGCCATGGTAAAAGCTTCGGGGGTACGGTGTACACTCGGCGACAAAATAATAGCACACCCCTGTGTTTTTTTTTGCTGTTCCCCGAAAAATTCAGCTCTGCGCAGAAATTTGCAATCTTGTTTCGTTCGAACGCTGAGATTCCCTTCGTACATGGAACAAGATTGGACAGGCACTATATTTACGGTAACAAACATAGTAGCATGGTTGTTACATAGTAACTTGGAGACGAGGTAGAGAGAAAAAGATTTAGACGTTGCCGAATATTAGAATGTAATTTAGAAGATTAGAATGTAACTTTTTTTTATTTAATTTATGCAGAATATTTATTGTAATTTAATTGAATTAATTAATTCGCGGTTTTAATTCCCTTGTATACAATTAATACAAAATATATTGTACATCTGTAAGCAAATGTAACAAAATATATCTATGAAAACTATTTAAAAAACTGAAAACTACAAATGCATAGAACACAGGTGCGCAAGAACGTCGCTTGAAAATTCGTGTTTCTGCTTTGGTGCGCGTTAATTTGGTCGACCGACGTGAAAGAAAACGTCGACTCGATTCTCTTTATTCTATGGATGTGAAATCAAGCCTGCATCTGCTCGTACAGCATTCGCGTTGTTTCGAAAATTCCACGAAAAATAAGCAAATTTGACAGTGCTAGAATTCTTTTGGGAAATGTTACAGCGAGCGTACATTCGGAGAATGACGAGGAAATTCCGAGAACAACAAGACTTCGCGATTGTCCCAAAATACGGTAACGTCTCCCTAATCGACGCTCAGCTTAGAAACAAAAGTGGACAATTTGGGACGAGGAGACACGATTATTCGAGCCTTGGGTCTCGTTTTTACAGTTACCGATTGCCAACAATTATAAGAACGAGCTACGAGACTCGAATAATCGTATCTCCTCTTCCCAAAATGTCCATTTTCGTGGACAATCCGAGCGTCAATTAGGGAGTCATTACTGTACAATGCTCTCGCGCTCGTCATGATACTGCGTTCCATTTCGTCAGCAACTTAATTCCAATCAAACTGAAATTATTTCGCATTGCACAGACTCGGCCAAAAGTTACGAACACAAGTCCCCAGCGTTCGATTTTTACGCAACCGGAAACGCGTCAATTTACAGAAGAGAAACGAAGAAACTGATTCGCGATACGATCTCGAACTTTTGGCCGGCATTATAACCCGCTGGAACACTGAAAATTCACGGATGTGTCGTCAATTTGTCGCACAGAGTGTATATGCCACTAGGACAGAGAGAAAGAGAGAGAAAGAGAGAGAGAGAGAGCAGTAGCTATCCGGGTGAAGGGTAGACGGAGAGAGAAAGATAGAAAAAACGAAACGGGGAAAAGAGTGATCTCCGATCAAAAGGGGAATAGACCGGGTAGCCATAGAGAGCGAGAGGACATGCAACCGCTTGGCGGCAGGTGTAGTCACGAACAACAAGCGTCGGGGATATCGCGCGCGCTCGCGCGTGTTCTTCGGTGAAAAGCTCGCGTACATGGTCGGCTCTCGCGATGAATCATGGCACAAGAACGTCGGCGGTGGCGGCGGCGGTCGAGGACATGTACAGGGTTGAGAGAGGCTTGTAAGAGACGTACGAACAGACACAGGCGTTTGAGGCAAGGCAGAGACAGGCAGAGACAGGTACAAAAAGTGGACGTGAAACAGAGAATAGAGAAATAGACGGAGAAAACAGAGATAGAGAAAACAGAGAGATAGATAGATAGATGGATAGATAGATAGCTAGACAAATAGAGAGAGAAAGAAAGAAAGAGAGAGAGAGAGAGCAGATAAAGAAAGAGAGAAATAGAGAGAAAACAGAGAGAGAGAGAGAGAGAAAGATAGAGAGAAATAGAGAGAAAACAGAGAGAGAGAGAGAGAGAAAGATAGAGAGAAATAGAGAGAGAAAGATAAAGAGAAATAGCGAGGAAACAGAGAGAGAAAGATAGAGAGAAATAGAGAGAAATAGAGAGAAAACAGAGAGAGGAAGATAGAGAGAAATCGAGAGAAAAATAGAACTAGAGAAAATGAAACAGAGTATAGTAAAGAATACAGAAAAAATGATGGCGAGATAGGCAGATTAAGTGAAGAGAAGAGAGAGAGAGAGAGAGAGAGAAAGAGAGAGAGAGAGAGAGCGAGAGAGAGAGAGAGAAGAAAAGAGAGCGAGAGAGAAGAGAGAAAAAAAGGACGCTGTCGTTCGGTTAAAAAAAAAAGAAAGACGGCACAGCGATCCGTATTATATCGGCGCTTTAGGTATTCTTGTAATTAGAGACAAAGAAAAATAAGACATTAAGTAGTGGTGTTGGTCATTACCGTTCGGGTCCGGGGCAATCGGGTACAATGATTGAGGCTTTGTACTGTCGGGCCGTGGTGGTTGGTGGTTGGTTCATTGGTGGTTGGTTGGTGGTTGTTGTCGATTGTTGGTAGGGTGGTCCATTTGCCGATCGAGTCAGGGTCCGTCGTTCCGGGCAGGGCAACGGCAGGGCAACGGCAGGGCAACACACCAGGGGGGCAACGCCGGGGTTGGGGCGGGGCCAGGGCACAAACCATCAACCAAGTTAGACATCACGTCTCTCACGGCTGGATTAATGTCGCGGCTTAATCGTCTAATAAACCCCTCCCCACCTACCCACCCCCTCTCCTCCACATCCCGCTTCCGCTACGTGCACGGACCGCTTTCTCCCGCACGACCACCCCCTTCCCTTCCCTTTCTTCCTTCCTTCCTTCCTGTTGCACCCGCCTACTACCACCGTCGGTTCGGAAACCGTTCCACGGTTTCCACCCCCCTCCCCAATTCGCGACGAGGGTTGGAGAAATGTTTGCGCGCGGCGACCTCTGTCGCGCGTTCGACCGCCGGACGCTGGCCGGCGACGCGGCGCTCGCACGTTCGGCGAACACCGATCCGACGATCGCAAACGTCGGCAAACATGGTCAAAAACGAGAAAGAGAGCGAGAGAGAGCGAGCAAACACGGTCGAACGCGTCGTCGACGCGCAATCAAACGGCGACGAATCGACGATCGCAGTTCGACGCTGCCGAAGTTCTCGCGCTCGCGGCTTATTGTTAAGATATTGTTATTATTACTGATAAGCTAAGTTTGACGAATTTTCGTACGTTCGCGACTGTTCCGTCCATTCGTGAGAGCATCCGGCGTAGACGCGGAGCGTCGGTCGTACGACGGATCGTCGGATGAAAGGCGGAGCTGCGTCGTTTTCCCGTCCCATGAGGCTGCGCTGATTTATTCGATCTAATTGCAACTTGATACTTCGAACTCCGTGATTCAATATGTTGAATCTGCCGCGTAGGTTGTATCGGAATTCAATTTTCACTCTGGCGTACTGGGATAGGGGTTGAAGGGCGCGGGAAGGGTTAAAGGGGAATTTCGATGCTATCGGATCTTCGGAGATCGCGATGCGACAGACAACGCGTTAATACGATATATAGAGCGAATTATCCAGGTAAAACAGGGGTGGCGAGCATCGCGTAACTGCTCCTAGTCATCCGTCTGATTGATATTATTTATGTTTATTTTAAATTTGAACTTATTTTTGGCTTTATATTACTGCTTTTCTTGTGATAATTTAAGACGTTCGGCGCCGACAAGCAATCGTTAAAATTCTCGCAAGATCGAAGCTATTTAATTAATTGAACCGAAACTAGAAAGTTAAAATTTATTGCAGTGGATAATATTAGAATTCCTTCGCAAACGAGATATCCTAATCAAATTCGATTTTTTCGAATATATTGGAATGAAAATGAATGTTCAAAATTGGTTAGAAATTAGTGTCGCACGTATGTGCATCGACGCGGTGCTCAACGTGTTAACCCTTTGTACTCGAAGTTATTTTAACCGTAAATCTAAAGTAATTTTATTATTATAGTAGATATTATTATAATTTTATTATTTTATAGTGGTTTCATTTTATACGTCCAAGTTGCATTTTATGCATATGAAATTGTGTCTTACGTTATATTAACACTGTTAATATAAAAATTATCGTTAGAACGTGATGTAACAATTTTTTAATTTTAGTGGTGCCTCGGAGTCACCATTCGAGTGCAAAGGGTTAACACACCACCGCCTATAATTTTAAAAAAAGACAGGTCGCCCGTAACGATCGAAAGTTTTGCCACCCCTGATGTGAAATATGGCGCTCGAACATTTTCTGTGCATCCGATTGAATTTATTACAACGTTTTTCAACTTGTCGCCAGCAAATTTCTTTCCTCCGTTTCGAAATCGTGCCCTTTTTATAACATCGTTATCTCGTGTATCTTTGTCGTCGCGGCAACAAAATTTGTGAACGGGTGACCCAGAGAGAGGTCTCCCGAACGCAACGACGAGAAATCGATGTAGCCACCAGGGGCGAAAACAAGGGCGAAATTAATCGGAGGAAGACGATCGAATCGTATCGTTGCATTTCCACATGGGACAAGAGAGACGGAATAATGTTAGCTGTGCGTGGCGGACATCAGCTCCGCCATTTCCACGTTCCCGTAAACATCCCGAACAACCCTTCCAAGACGTCCGCGCGCGTTCCAGCGCCCAGTCGATTTCCGAGCTGATCGAAGCCGGTTAAACCGAAACGGCGGTCCGAGCGGTGCCTCTTGCCGCCAACGAAATCGCCCGAATACGGTTGATCGAAGAGACGCTTAATAATTAACGCGCAATCCCGCTCGGAGCTTCGCCGAAATTCGAACGTCGAATCGGAAATCGATCGGCCGCGACTTCGCCGCGTGGCTCCGCGTTGCGATCGCAATCGAACAGGCGTGCGCGCGTGCCAAGTGTGTCGCTTGCAAATATTTCTCCGACCCCGTAGGCTCTTTCCATGGGTCACGTTAAAACCACCGACACAGATTTCACCGACACCAGCCTTGACCGGCGCAGCAATATTAATCGACAACAACGTTCACCGTGTGTATTCCCTTCCAATTGTGCCGTTTCGAAACACGATCTCCCGCATCTCGAGCGCGTAATTAAAGAAACTCCTGCGAAAAACGCATCTATCTAGATCCGTGTCTACGCTGTATTCGACGCCGGTTTATGATTTACAGTCTATTTTGCAACGCTACCGACCGCGGAGCAATAAACAGTCGAAGACAAATACTATATTTCGAAATAACAACGTAACGGTGCTTCGATAACAAAGACAAACACCGGTGGAAACTGGTTCATTAGCGTTCTCGTGTTAATTACTGATCGAAATAACATTTACTTTGTACATTCTTCTCGACGAGTTAGGTGAACTTCTAGAATTTGTCTTTAAATAAAGCTGCAAACGCTTGAAATATTGGTGCGTATGAAATGTCGGATTTTTAAGCGAATATATAAAACTGCGTATCTTATTCCAAAAGCTGTTTATTTCATCAAAATATGCTCCATTCGCTTCGATACACTTTTCCCATCGAGATTTCAATGCATAGATGCCTGTCGCAAAGAAATTCTGATCTTTGGAATCGATAAACTCTGATATGGAATTTTTCAAACTGTCTTCATTTTCATACCGTTCAGCCCGTAAAAACTGTTCTAAATGTTTAGAAAAAATGAAAGTCGGTTGGCGAAAGATCCGGCGAATAAGCCGGGTGCTGCAAAATTTCATATTTTCATTCATTTAATTTCGCAATTGTTTCGTACGACGTGTGCGGCCGAGCGTCGTCGCGGAGAAGTATCGGGCCACGCCGATTCACAAGCGATGGGCGTATAATTTTCAATTTTTCACGCATCTCATCGATGTACCGGTAATACTTTCCGGCTGTAATTGTCTCCCCAGTTCGAAGGAACGAGTAGCGAATTACTCCGGTCGCATTCGTTTCCACCGATGCTTTCGGAGCGTCATTTTTCACGGACGTTTCGGGTCTTCCGCGCGGTTCATTTTCTAGGGAAAAATCAGCGGACCGAAAATTTTCAAAGCAACGCTGCACTTTTCGATCGTTAACAGTATTCTCCCCGAACGCCTGGTTTACATCGCGTGCAGCTTTTGCAGCATTATTACCAAGTTTATACTCGTACAAAAAGATTACACACGAATATCGGTTGAATTCGTATCCTTACGAAATTCAAAACAAATAACAAAATGGAACACTTTTGAGAAAATCTTCTTCGTTGAAACGTGACTCTGGCGATGGACGATACGACTATAAACGTGGTTATGCCGAAAACAGGGAGACGAAGGTTCGCGTGTAAAGAAAATCCGACATTTCATATGCACCAACCTAATATAACGATTTCATTTCTTAATCTCATCGTTAAGACTAATTTCGGATAAACCGCGTTTCTCAAGCCTGCAACGCGCTATGTTGCATTCTCGCTTCGTCCGCAATGTTCGACGTATTTCAGCTAGATCGCGTACGCGGTCGTACAATGAAACAACTAAACGAGCCAACTGAAATGTTTACACAAACAGTAACCACGAAACAACGCTATTGTAAATAGCGAAAACTCGAAGCTCGATCATCGCGTGAACAACCGAAATAAAATCGAACACCTTCGATCTCTTGAGAAACGAGAGAAGAAACCCGCCGTAAGTTCGGCGCCTGGAAAAATTGGCCGCAATCGTCGGATAATATTGTCGCTGGCGCATTTGTCTCGGTGGAAACAGTGAAACCTTTTGTCGGGCGATTCGAGCGGCGCCCTTTACGACGATCAAAGGCCCCGAAAGCGGCGCGCGAGATTCCCCGTTAGTCGAACGACGGACTTCGCCGCAGGGAGCTCGCTGCGAAAGTCTCTGGGAAACTCTAGGCGAGAGGATTCCCCAGGAGAAACTGCGCTTTTTCCCCGCGAGATTTTCTCCGGACGGATATCTCTGGGCATATGATATCTCTGGCCTTCCTCGCGTCGGGGTCGCGCAGGTGCGTGTCACCTGCGAATCTCGGGCAGTGACGCGCGGCGAAACTCAGCCGAACGAATGGCCGGTCGACCGATTATTTACGACCCGGGACAAGATCGAGTGGGGTTTGACTCAGTTCGCGTTCGGTTAATTTCACGCGCGCAACGGCCCGCCGGCTTCGAGGAGAACCTCTCTCGGCGATCGCGCCGATATTTATGGCCGCCTTTGTGCGTCTCGAACGCAGCCCCGATGTGTGCTCGCGAAGACGGGCCACCCGGCCATGAATCTCGATAGTTCCGACCTCTCTGGCATCCTAAGCTTCGCTCCTCCGCTCGGCTCGGCTCGGCTCGACTCCTCGGCTCGACGAAAACCCGCGTTCGAACCGTATTTATCGCACCGTTTCAATTATCCGATTCCTGCCGGAGTGACTCGAAACTGTTCGAACCGCGAACGACGAAATGTAAGGATGAACGAAAGGAACTCGACAGAAGCTCGCCGATTTTTAACCGTTTGAGAGTCCCGATCTGAGATT